TCTTGTGATATTGTATCTGCCTTAAAGGGTAGGTTTGTAATTCAAAATTAAATAATCTGGAAAATTGTGTAGAAATAAACAACCATTTTTGTGGGTTATAATTTTTAAAGTAATCTTAATCATAACATGCAAATTTATGATGACACAATGTTTTAATTGTTTTTCCTTCCAAAAATTAACAGGGGGAGATTTACCTTGCAATAAATGGTTTTTGTCATCTCATAACATAGTTTAAGCTCCAAAGATATTACTGGGAGTCATTGGCTAGGCATTTAGACATTATTTGTGGTTGCCACCAATTTTCTCACTCCCCTGCATCTGCTGGCATGCTCAAGAGGGCTTGGAGGAGAGGCAGTGGTTTCTCTCCTTTGTGCTTGAATGTGGAGCTGAGAGACAACACGAATCCCTCACACATGTGAGAAGGCTCCTGCTGTTTGTTTTCTTCCCTTCTTCAACCCAGCAGCACTCATCAGAAGAACTCTGGCTTCTATGTCGCTGGGCATCCTTTTTGCCACAGGGCTAGTAAACATTTGGTCATGGGAAGCTGGTAAGTGGGTTCACAGAAGCTCGATCTTAATGATTCAGTCTGGCTGTTACAACTATACCTCATAATTTAAATAACCATTCTGGAGTCTTTTGTATGTACAGCCCACCCTCCCCTTCTGATACTTTGACATAATTGCTGCTAGAACAATGTATTCAAGGAGCAGTTTCTTCCTTGAGTTTAAAGCTGGCTCCTTCTAGCTCCTGAACAGTTCTGCTAAGAATGCAGAAAATCTTTGACAACACCCAGTGGTTGTCATTAGTTTATTACAGTTATGCCATTTCCTGTGTGAGGGGAATACCACAATACCACATCACTCCAATATTGATAAAACTCAGCTGATGGACAGATAATGTTTTATTCATCCCATGGAGGCTTTTCTTCATAGACTTACACTGCTGCACACATGGCCCTGTGGGTCTGTTGCACTTGCTATGGCTTAACTTGGTAACAATTTATCTAGTGGGCCTCCTGAACTTGTATTCAGCAGGCTGTGGGATGTACCTCATAACTGGTTCCTATATGAACAAAGAAGGAGGCGGATGCATAGTCCCAAATTTCTATCTATCAGACAACATTTGAAGAACAGCTCTATAGGGGAACTTGTTTTTTTTGTTCCTATGTGGACCAATACAGATATAACATTCTCTGCAGAGTCTTGCCTTCTGTTTTTCTGCCCCTATCCCCCATCATTTTTTTTATTTCAGCACTGAGATTAACATTAACTATGACTAGTGTTAAAAACTAGAGCTTGAAACAAGCTTCAGATTCTCATTACAAACTCTCGTTTAACACTGACTGTGAATTATTAATATCAGTTGCAGACATTATGCTAAGTCGTGAAGACTGAAAAGGGCAGAGAAGGTCTGGGCTGTTCCCCGTGCATAAAGTGTTGTTAAGGGATCTGGAAATGTTATGTCTGTATTGTGCCATACAGACTTTCTAGTTATCCGAATTTGTTATCTGAAAGCATCTTATCTGAAAATACCACTTTTGTGTGACCCTACACAATTACGTTCTGTTCAGTCCTGCATAAATAAAAGTCAGTATTCTTTTGCATGGTGGTTGTGTGTAACTTTGCAGTCTCTTCTGTTGACAGAGTCTAGGACTGTTTGAGAGAAGTCAGTTTGTCATTCTGTACTACATTAGACTTGCTATCTGAATGGGAAGCCTTGATGATCTGCTATACAGTTTATTGTGACAAATGTTCGTAACAAATCTTTGTCTTTTGATTGATAATATACTTAAAACTGCTTCCTTTTTGACTTGTGTTTTTGTAATTCTGTACGCTTCTCTCTGTAAGTGTAAATGAAATATCTTTGTACCATAACTTAATCTGTATCTTGATAATGTCCCCCCAAAGTAGCGTATGTCTCCTTGTCTAAAGATGTATTGTAAATGTAAGCTCCTGTCTCTAGATAAGGGGTGCAAAAGTAGCATTACAGAAAAAGGTTGTGGGGTGAGAGAAAGGTGGAGTAATTGTTGGCGTTTGAATTGGCTAACACAATACCAACACAGTGGGGTACATTAATAGCTGAGCAGAGTAGAAATACTACTACTGGTGAGGCTTTTGCTGGAGACTTGTGTTGACGTTTCAGATGGACGTGCATAAGCTGGACAGAATCTGAAGAACATCAAATCACCAGAGGTCTAGAGAAAATGTTATATGATTAAAGAGTGAAATAATTAGGTTTGGGAAGAGAACGATGTGAAGAGGCTTGGTAATTTATCTTCAAATGCCTGAAGAAGGAAATTGATCGGCTGTTCTCTACTACTGTTGTTGGGGCTCAAATGGCAACCAAAATGTCACCCTGAGTGTGAAAAAGCTGCTTAATTTGTAAAGAGTGCCAAAGCTTTATCCCAGTGCCTCCACCATTCTTTACAATTGCCTGGGGGTGTGGTGGCTTTTTAACCTATTCTTTAACACACGTTCACCGATAAAACAAGTATGGTTGGATTCTTTAGGTGTAATCAGTCCCTAAAGCAGGCAGATTGACTGGAAGACTGCTTAAGGTCACTTTTCTCTGTAAAATCAAGGATTTCTGTTGTACATATATGGCAGGGAGCTGCAGTGATGTGGTTGTTAGGTGACCTTGGCCTACTCCCTTGAACTAACCTACCTTGCAGGTTGTTGTGAGGGTAAAACGGAGGGAGGGGTGGTACATTGCTTTGAGTTCTTTGGACGAAAAAAGGCAGGATTGCTTTTTTTAAAAAAAAGCAAAGAAATAGAAGCAGGAATCTATCAAGAAGATGGATGACAATCCATGAAGTCGCAGTGATCCCACTGTTGTTTGCGTACAGAAACTGGAAGACTTAGATTTTTAATATTTTTTGTATTATTACGGACATTATCTTGGAATCTCCAAATCTGTCAGATCCAGTTTTTCATTATATAGTTAACCAAGTAACCTAGTTTCTTGTTTGGTCCATTACACATACAAGAGATTGTGATGCTAGAAGAAGAAGAGAAGAAGAGATTGGATTTTTACTCCGCCCTTCACTACCCAAAGGTGCTCAGAGCGGCTTACAAACTCCTTTCCCTTCCCCTCCCCACAACAGACACCCTGTGAGGTAGGTGGGGCTGAGAGAGCTCTGACAGAAACTGCTCTTTTTCAAGAACAGCTGTGCCAGAACTATGGCTTGCCCAAGATAATCCAGCTAGGTGCAAGTGGAAGAGTGGGGAATCAAACCCGATTCTCCCACATTAGAGTCCGCGCACTTAACCACTTCACCAAACTGGCTACCCTAGAGTATACCGAGGACAAGGCATGCTGTACGGTTTGGATGTAGATAATTGTGTTGCACTAATTCCATCTGGAGACTAGTTCACATGGCTTGAATTCTGACTAAGACCAGGTAGGAAAGAAGGTTGGGCGAAGATACCCATGTCACTTGCCCATAAGCCCCACAGGCGGCAGAGTCCTTACTACTTTCCTTAAAAGGTAATGGAGATTTATTTATTATTTATTTCATTGGACTTTTATCCTGCCCTTTCCTGCAGGCAGGCTCAGGGCAAGACATGGCATTCTTAAAACCATACAAAATTTAAAGAGAGTACAATCATAAAACAAAACAATTTATACACATAAACCCTTAGCACCGGCTAAAACAATTTACTGAATAGGATGCGATTCCAGTTGCAATGCAGCTGCAGATCTAAACAGAGCAGGAGAGTGGGTGGGCGAGTAAGCAGCAAAGATGGACTATAGTGTTGCTGGGCATAGCTAAGCCAGGCAAAGCAGGGCAAGGCAGAGTAGAGCAACAGGTCATTTGCTTGACCTTTAATTTTGAAAATTTCAGAAGAAATATCTTATAGAATGTCTTGTGTATATGGTGGTGGTATGTCTTCTTCTGTATACAGAAAAGAAGTCTTGATGTTTAGACCTTGTGGTATTGCAAAGAGAATTGCATCCTAAGATTGCAGTGGCCCTTGCAAGATTTATCTTTTATTCAGAGGTACTTAACTTAATAGCAAAAACATTTTCTTAAGTAGTCAGCACTTGGTTAAAAAAAAATGAGGAAGCCGAGTGGTCATCTGTAAAATCTAGCCTTTATTACGCATTTCCGATTGAGAGCCTTTCTGTTTTACCTTGCCCTTCCTTCAGAAAGCTTAAGGCATCATACATAGTTCTAAGTTTTATCCTCACAACAACCCCGTGAGGTAGGTTAAGCTAAGATTGGGTGATTGGCCCGGAACCTCCATGTCTGAGTGGTGAATTGATCACTTGTTTCCACGGTTCTCATGTCACGCTTTAATTACTACACCAAACTGAGAAGCAGAATCTTGGTATACTTCTCTGTAATTGGTTGAATCCAGCAATGTGTGAGCAGTGCCGCTTGCACAAGCAGTAATTCAGTGGCTGCAGCATCGCATGGCACTTTAGTACCAGTGTTATTTTGTTTTTAAATGTGCATGTAGAGCAACGGGTCGTTCACTTGACTAATTTTGAAAATTTCAGAAGAAATACTTTACCGTATGTCTTGTGTATTATGTTAGTGGTATATCTTCTTGTGTGCATGGAAAAGCTAGTGTGGATACAATCACTTTCACTTGTTTGCAAGCAGATAGCAAGGAACAGCTTCAGTTCTTGCACAAGTACTACTGCTCATATAGAAATATTCTACTTCTACATAAAAATAATGGAGGTATGTGAGGTGTATTTATACGTTTTTATATACTTATGTATTTATATACCAATAGTATGTTAGACAGTTATAGTATGTGTTGGTCAGTATAACTGGATTGTTAGAGGAACGTGGGTGACAGGTAGTCATAAACAACCCTTATGTATTTATATACCAATAGTATGTTATTGTATGTGTTGGTCAGTTAACTGGATTGTTAGAGGAATGTGGGTGACAGGTAGTCATAAACAACTGAGGGACATGTAGCTAGCCATGAGGGCAGACAACTGTCTCAAATAAAACACTCACTTCTACACTTGTATTTTGACAGAAAGCTACAATAAATGATTTGAAAGAAGCAGCAGCACAGAAGAGAGGGGAAAATGCCGAAACCGGTAAGTAAACCACTTCTTACCTTTCTAGAACTTGATAGGCTTTCAGTTCAGTCTGTGATCTAGTGGCAAGCATTTTGTTGCTGAGTCTTCTTTTATTGTCCTGAATAGACATGCTGTCATATGTAGGAAACTTCAGAGGAAGGGCATGGTCCAGATGTTGTGCATGGAAGGAACAGTGCATAGAGGTTCTGCTTGCCACATAGGAACTTCATGAGCAAAACTGTTAGAAGTGGACAGCCCAGTTATCCAGGCCCATGTGTGAAGTTACTTCCACTTTTAGTGCAGTTAGTAAAGGTAAAGGTTTCCCTTGCTCGAAAGCCAGTTGAATCTGACTCTAGGAAGTGGTGCTAATCTCTGTTTCTAAGCCAGTGCTGTCCAAAGCCAGTGGTGTCCACTGTCTAAGCCAGTGCTGTCCAAAGACATTTCCGTGGTCATGACTAAACGCCAAGGTGCACGGAGCACTGTTACCTTCCCACCGAAGTGGTACCTATTTATCTACTTGCAATTTCTTGCTTTCGAACTGCTAGCTTGCATGAAATGGCAAAGGGTAGTACACTGTGTGTTGTTTCCACGTCAGTCGCATGTATACTTCTTCTGGGCATGTTGTAAAAGTGTGAAGGCAGAAAGCAACCTCAGCGGCATGTATACTTTTCCTGGGCATGTATAATTCTCCTGGGCATAAGTTGTGAAAATGTGAAGGCAGAAAGCACAAGTCATTTACTTTTCTTTCCTCTTTTCTGAAAGATTTGAAAAAGTTCTGAGATGCATTTATTTACTGAGGAATGGAGATGCTATTGTTAGTAGTATTGTTATGGAGCTTTACAGAGTACAAGATGACATTTCCCTGCCCCAGGGAGTTTATGATCTGAAACCAGGTTTACTAAGCCTTGTGAAAGCTTGCTAATCTCTGCAGGAAAAAGAAGGTGGGGTGTTCTGTTTTAGTAATTTCTGCCGTCTTTTTGCAAAGACTCAAGGGCAACATTTTTCATCTCACTATGGTAGAGATCATGGAACTCTTTAGCTAGTATAAAAGTGGGGAAAGGTTGGGCAAGTGTAACAGATTTTCCAAATGATTGGCCCTGTGTCAGGATATTCTTGAAGGAAGTCCTTCCTTCAGGTTTAATTATCCCTAGATTCTCCTTAACTCTTGAAGGATGGAAGCAAATAGTAGCCAGCTACTTCCATAGTTACTCAGACTGCGCTCCCCCACATTATCTGATTTCTAGTTTTGTGTTTGCATACATACACACATGGAAATCTGTCTCAAGCTTAGAACCAATGACCCTGGATTTCCCAGTCTGGCTGCAGCAACTATAAGTTCTATAGATTTAAAAGGCAGCTGAATAATGTTATTGTCTGGATGTATAAAGACCCTTTGTTCTCAACCATAGGAAGAAAGAAGTCCTGCTGTCAGGAAGCGAGGACAATCTTGTTTCATTTCCCTTATTTAAGTGCGTGTTCAAAAGTAATGAGCTACTCTGAGAGCCTGGTATTGACTACTGCCACACCATTCCCACAGAAAGACATGTGTTCAACTTGATTTAACTGGTGGTGAATGAATCTGTGAGGAGATCCGTCTTTGTGTTTAATGACAAGGTTTTATGCACCAGCACTGGCAGTGTGAGAGGGCAATGGAATCTGCAGCTTTTATGACTGTGGGTGTCTGCTGATTCAACACTTTACAGTTCCTGTGAGTTTGCATACAAGTAGTCCTTACCTCCTTTTCTGTTTAACATCATAGAGTACTTATGTATTCCATGTTCAGCATTAGTTTTACCTGTTATTGTTTCACTATAGAGGATCATGATCATGAATCTCTTCAGAAATTCAGTGTTGCATTTCTGGAGAGCTTTGCATTGATGGGTGATAGATGAAGAACTTTAAGGTAAAGGTAAAAGGTTCCCTTGCTCGAAAACCAGTCGAGTCTGACTCTAGGGTTGCGGTGCTCATCTCCGGTTCAAAGCCGAAGAGCCAGCGCTGTCCAAAGACATTTCCGTGGTCATGTGGCTGGCATGACTAAACACCAAGACGCATGGAACGCTGTTTCCCTCCCACCGAAGTGGTACCTATTTATCTACTTGCAATTTCTTGCTTTCAAACTGCTAGGTTGGCAGGAGCTGGAACTAGTGACGGGAGCTCCCTCTGTCATGTGGCACACTCGGGTCTCAAACTGCTGAACTACCGACCTTCCACAGCCTGCAGTTCAGCTTCTTAACCACTTGAGCCACCGCAGCTCCCGAAGAACTTTAGGGGGACAGATTTCAAACCTTCCTTTATTAGAAGGCTGAATATTTAGAACATTTGCTTAATTACTTATTTGAGTATAGCTAGAGCTAAGGTAACATTCTGGCTGTATCCTCAGTGCCATAGGAACTTTAGCACCGGACCAGTATAATTTGGAAAATGCATACTTTGGCAGCTGCATGTATGGATGGCCAGGGTCTATCTAGAGGCAAACACCGTGCCTAGCATGTTCAGTTAGTATCAGGTTCTCAAATTTGATTGAGTTGTCCTTCAGCCAAGGCTCTCACCTATATCTTAGAAGAAAAAGTAGTGCTCGTTGGAACAGCTGATGGCATGGACTACCCTTAATCAAGAAAAGGATGCTTAACTTTTTTGATGCCTCTCTAATGTGGAAGGTTAAGAACTGTGGCTCTTCCATGTACCTCTTCCCCCATAGTGTTTGGGTTCTTCTGTTTTGTTTGGGTACAGAGAGAGGATTTGAGGCCATGCATCTCCAGTGTTCCCTGAAAGCTGCTTTTGTGGCATCTCGCTTCACTCTTTTGCTTTATTAGCAAAATACAGGATGCTTTCCTTAAAGTAAACAGGATTTAAAGTTGAATGGCTCAGTTAACTGATGCCCTAATGTGCCTGCATAGGAATATGTCTGTGGTTTTTTAAAAGTTTGCGATTGAATGTACAAGACTATAATGACATGTGTAAACAAACGTCTTCTTGAATTTCGTCTAGGATGTTGTGTACTGTGTGCTTTGTATGCTTTACATAACAGAAGATGCCCAAAAATATTTTGTGTACTATTGAAACGTAGATGTACAATCAGCAACCTAGCTATTAACATTAAACATTTGGGTAAGGCATTCATTTCCAAATGTGAAGTTCTGTAAGCATTGCAATTAACGTAAGCCAGCAATTAAATACAACTCTTAAGGTTCTTCCTTTATTACCAGCTTTGAAAACAAAATAATGTGGTCACTGTTATTAAAATTAATTTTACTGTACACTGATTTAACAAAGTGATTACACTGCTATTAAAATAAATTGTATAGGGGTTTTCCAAGTACACAAGATTTTATGCTGTGACAAGTCTTAGTGCACAGATGTCCCCACCTTATGGGGGAGTTTATTTTTATCACGTCAACATTGTACTGAAAGCCTTTTAAAAAATAAACTCCGCATCCAGCAACCATGGTAAGAAACACTGCTAAGACTCTTGAAGGGTATTCATTTAAAGCATTTCTATCCCACTATCTCCTTGGACTCAAAGTGGGGAACAATGCAGCAGCCAAACTGAGATTAAAAAAAAATAAAGTTTACAAAAATATAAAGTTTATAAATTTAAAAGTATTCAGATTTAAAAGACAAGAATGAAAACAGGCAGAGTTAGCAACCTTGCAGCCAAATACTCTGAACAATTCAACCTCCACCAGATGCTTTCCAGAATAAGACTCTCTTTCTGAATAGAGCAAGTGAAAACATCCTGCTCACCCTCTCTGGCAAGTCATTCCAAAGGATGAGGCCCACCATGAAAAAGGCATGTGATCTCACTGTATGGGTAGTGCTAAGGGAGGGCACTTGGAGGAGGAGGCTGTCTAAAGAACGTAACTGGTACAGGGAAGTATACTAAGGGATGTGGTTCACATCTGAAGGCAACAGGGCTCTAAAGGTAATAACCAGGACTCTGAATTGAGCCCAGAAGCTAATGAGCACTTAGTGGAGTTGACGCAGCAGTGGAGTTGTGTGTTCCAACCAGGTGATCCCAGAGAGGAGTGTTTGTGCTGCACTTTGTACCAATTCCAGACTTCTTCAAGTACAGCTCCACAGAGAGCATATTAGAATAGTCCAGTCTGGACGTTACAGTAGCATAGATCAGTGTAGCAAGAGGCCAGTTTACAAGCTAGCTGTAAGAAGACAGTCATAGCAACAGTACTGATCTGCTTATCCACTAACAAGGAAGGGTCCAGGAGCACCCCCAAAAAAACCCTCTCTTAACTGGGTGTATTATGGAAAGCTTAACCCATCTGAGTTTAGTGTTTTGTCTGTCCTTTTGGCATTTGTTCTGTAATTGTTGCAACTGACTCACGGTGACTCTAGGACCATGGAGTTTACACGACAAGAGATGAGCAGAGATGGTTTGCCATTGCCTTCCTCTGCATAGCAAATAGCTTCACTTTAAAAAAAAAGGACTTTTTTTTAAAAAAATCCTCACCAGATGAAGCAGAGGATGTTAATACAGAATTGGTTGGTTGTGAAATAGGAAATCTGCCTCCAGAGTTAGGCATAACTTCATAATTAGCAAACAGTATGGTAGATGGCTCAGAGTGGTGGCTCAGAGGTTAAGATGCTGAACTGCAGACTGGAAGGCCAGTAGTTTGGCAGTTCGAGACCCTAGTGCCGTGTGACGGAGTGAGCTCCCCAGTGATCCAACTCCTGCCAGCCTAGCAGTTCGAAAACAAGAAATTGCAAGTAGATAAATAGGTACCGCTTCAGTGGGAAGGTAACAGCATTCCGTGTGCCTTGGCGTCTAGTCATGCCCGCTACATGACCACGGAGACGTCTTTGGACAGTGCTGGCTCTTCAGCTTTGAAACAGAGATGAGCACCACCCCCTAAAGTCAGATTCGACTGGTTTTCAGGCAAGGGAAACCTTTACCTCTGTGGTATTGTGGCCCTGTAACAGAAGACTTGTATGAAGAACATGTTCTCCCTGCCAGGTTATTGGTCCCATGGTAGAAGCCCATTTGCCCACAGCAGTGAGACTTGCCTCTGTAATATGGCGGGCTCTCAGAAGAATGGCTCAAAAGTGGTGTCACTGGGATCCTAATGACTGTATGGGGGGAGGGGCATTTGCAAAGCAGCCTGACAGCAAATGTTATGAGTGACCCAGCACAGGAAGCTGCAGTCAGGAAACACCTGGGGAGGCTTGTCAAAGGATGTCTTTGGATCCTAGCGAGAACAGTGATGGGAACTGTGAGGCCAGCAAGCCATTCCTGCAGTTGCATTTAGATCATAGTGACTCCTAACTGCTCTGAGGGATTCTGGAGGGAGAAGGCAGTTTGCATACCCAGCCACTAAAATTAGTGATTTCATTTAGTCAGAAGTTTCTGTGTTGTAGATTGTAGATTGACATCAGTGGCAACTCAGAACCAGATAGGTGACAAAGGTCAAAAGAAGCATGTTGCCAGTAGCAGATATGAATACGGGCAGCCTGTGTACATTCAGTACATTTAGTTTACTGAGTCATTAGTGAAAAGAGTCTTTTACTTACAAAAGGGGCAGAACCGTCAGCGCCTTCCACAATGCCAGTGATCTGCTTTAGGCAAGTGGCCTCAAAGCAAGCAAGCAGTAATTACAAACTCCCATTGTGTTGTGGGCTGTGTGACTTGCCTCTGGGCATAATTTTTGATCTTAAATTAAGTAAAGCAGTTCTACATTTTTTGTTTACTAGCAGAGGTCTATCTTTGAAAATGTTATGAATAGAGGCAAGATTTCTTTCAGTATTTTCCAAACAAAGCAAAAAGCACAAATGAAGCATTTGTCCTGATTCCGGATATGGCTCTCAGACTAGAGGAATTGCTGCTGCTGTGAGGATACATGTCCAGACTTCAGTAATTGTTCCCCTCTAACTTTTGAACATTCAGACAATCTGGTAACCAAAAGCAGACCCCCCCCCCACAAAGAGCATGACATGCAGTTATATATTTAAATATTAAAAAGGAAACTTAAAAAATCAGTTGGTATGCCTTGGTGTCAATTTGTCCTGCACAAGGCCTGGTGTGATCATGTGATAGGGGAGGCAATGCACAGATGAAGAGTCCACTGTTTGTCTTACTGGGAATAAGCCTTATTAAAGCCAGTGGGGCTCAGTTCTTGGTTCTAAGTAAATATGCATGTGATGATACTGAGTCACTGAAACTCCTTAGGTGGAAAAGCCATCTAGTAGAAATTAGTAGCAAATCTGATTCCTGTTATTAAAAGAATTCTCTTGTAAAGTAGTTTAAAAGCAGGGGCAAAATGGGCTTCTTCTTTTTTTGGTATTGATGCTGTGCTTTTATGTCTCTCTGTTTCTTTCTCTGACTGAGGTCAGGACAGGAAGGAAAGCTGGAGTTGCTTCCCTAGAAATCAGGTACAGGCTTAGGAGTGTGAACCGCTTAAAAGCACAGTGCAACAGATTCCTTTACCTTAAAAGGCAGTTGCCTAAATTAAAAGTTCCCTTGCCCTTGGTGGCTTGGTGCATGCGTGTGTGGAACACTGTATTTGCAAGTTCAGTTATTGTTCTACTGTTATGGGTGCTTGAAGAGTTGTATGGAACTCCAAGAAATGCATGCCTGTAGCTGTCCTTGGGTTTCTTTCCTTCTGTCTTTCTATCTTTCTGAGCAGGGCTAATTTGGTAGTCCCTTTCTCCTCTAGCCATACCCCTTCTATTTGACTCTACTTTTTCTTCTTTAACCACTCCTTTTCCATTTCTATTTGATTACCCTGATAAAGAGAAATTTTAAAAAATTGCTTTCTTGGTTACCTTCTATTACTTTGTATAAAACAATGTAACTTAGATGTAACATTGGTATAACAAGTATTTTGTTTTCCTAAACATGCATTGCATATAGTGTTTGCAAACTAAAACTAACCGACTAAAAGCCAGATCCTCTGAGTGTCCAGGCAGTGGTGCATGAAGAGATGTAAAGGCCTGTAGAAAGTTATATCTCTAGGGCTTTGCATTGTACAGCAAGACTGATTTTGTTAACCTGACACAAAATGTCAAGCCATATACATAATGACACCATGAAACTGTATGTACAGAGATGGCTGAGAATATTTTTTTTGCCTGCATCTACCCATCATGATCAAGATGTGAACCATATGAAAGCTTCTCTAATGCATCAGCTAGTTGTGTCAACTGCAGCAAAACAGATTTGACAACATCTAGGGGAGCACTCCAGTATGTGAGACAGAGCTTTCAGGGTTAGTTGTGGCAAGTGCTGTAAGGCCACTTCCCAGCATTATGTTGCTCTAGAGAAAAAATGAATGCATTTGATGTAACATATTCCCCCAAATTACTTTGCTTGGCCAGTATTACTTTGCTTGGCCAGTACTCTTTGCAGTATGCACCAACCCAAGATTCCAGTTGTAGAGAGAGCAAGGTACCAAGAACACCTGAGGATTTTTTTTCAAGAACAATGGCTTTGCACCCCTTTGTATTGTCCCCTCATATTGCTATCATTATCATAGTGCTGTCCCCGAATATAAGACACCAAAAACCCATCCATTGCCACCTTCTCCAGCACAGGCTTTGCAAGACCTTTTCCTGATCTGTCTGCGACATCCATAAATTTCAAAGAATTCTCCTTTATGTCCACTGATTTGCTTATTTAATCAATTTCAGCATACCTGCACACCAGTGACAGTTGTTTGTGTTTTGAGATATCTGGGGTACAGTCTACCATCATCCTGAAAAATTTAGCTTTTTAAAGCTTTTTTATTAGCAACATCTGTTATTGTACACGCAGGCACATAGAGAAACTCATTCTGCATATCCTGTCTGACAGAAGGAACATCGGTCCCCTCTTTAGCACGCTACAAATGTCCACTCAAACATATTTTGAGAAAACCTGAAGAATCTTTAGGAGAGATTCCATTGTGTTCAGTGAATACCTTGTCTGATGATCTTCTAAAGGGCCACGTTGTTTTTAGCCATGCACCAAATCAAGTCTACAATACTTGATGCCATTGCTGCTGCTCTAGAGGAAGCTGTCTTTACATGTCTTTGTGGATGGTAATGTTCGGTTTCAGAACAGCTTCCAGCTCTTTCCATGTGGAGTGATTGTTGAGAGGATAGCTTGATACCTCATGTGCATGCAGAGCCCCCTTGTCAAAGAGGGGCTTCCAGTCTTTGAATCCTCCTGAACTTGGGTATGATGGCTTGTCAGTATTAGCAAACCATTTGCAATAGAAACAATAGACAGAATCACATGATAGTGAGTAACCAAGCCAGTCTTTCAGCCTTGACAACCATTGCCCAAACTCCAGTAATAACTAGTGGAAGAGAACTGCCTCTTTGTACCATCAGGGAAGTCTCCCAGTGGAAAGTCTCTGTGCATCCTATCCCCACTTTGCTTAGGGCCCCTTTTGATGGCTTGGCATCCCAGATGATCACTAATTACATCTGGCCACTCTGCAGGATCGTTACTGAACTCTGGGAAGTGGTGTGATGCAGACAGATGGATTGGGGCTTGCTGGCAGTAATCATCAGGAAGAACTCTTTACTTCCTCAGTGTTGAAGCACAGTGGAGAAATATTCATACACTGTAGATTCTCCAGTGTACTGGTAGAGGTGGAATCATTCCTTTCTCATGTGTTCTTTGGCACACTGCTCTTTTGGAAGAAACTGTCAATGGCTTGCAGTGTCTCTCCCCCCCCCCCCCCCCCCCCAAAAAAGTTTTTCCTTCTTTTTCTGGCTTCCAGACTTGTTTTTCCGGAGGTGTTGATCCATGATGTGGATGTTGCTTAGGATCCATTGTGTTGTGAAAAGCAAGCAATAAAGAACAGCGTGTGTGTGGAGTTATGTTTGGATAAAATGGAAGGAAGGAGAGCAGTATGAACCACTTTGCATTGGGGAGAAAGACAGGGTAAAAATGAAGTAAATGCCTCTAAAGAACCCCAAGAAGTAGGGTAAACAAAGCTGTAGTGACTTGCTCAAAAGTACAAATTGTACCCTAGATCAAGTCTGGGTAATGACTTCAAAAAAAAGGCCCCAAAGGTCCATTTCCAACACTATCATCATTGAGTGGTTCTCCCACTGACCACTCTTCCATCCCAATATATTGCACACTGTAGGTAAACCAGTGCAAAAGCTGACTATTAATTTGTAGAACAGTATTTTGTTATGACATGGAGAAGAATGTGACTGCATGCTGTTTGGTTTCCACTTACAGTGGAAAAATTCACTAGGAGAATCAACCAGAGGCAGTAACAAAATGCCCAGTATATTAGGATGAACAGATAGCTTTTTAAATTTTATTCTAAAAAATACTTTTGTTAGGATTTCATCATAGACCTGCAATTTGAAATTACTGCAGAAAGTAATCTCTGGCCTTGGTGATCCCAAGAAGTACCATTTGTCAGAAAATGTTGTTCTGTTTTATGTACCAAATCTTGGAGCTTCACCAAGTAGCGCTGAGCCGCCTCAGGTCTGTGTCAGGTTTTCACTGTCAAAGATATAGGCAAAGGTACCCCAATTCCTGGTCTTTCCCATACAGATAGAATATGTCAGAGATGGGGACATCTCCATCTCTGGCCCACCCTGCTGACTGCTGATGCTGGCCCTACTGGGAACTATACTGTTTGCATACTATCTGCAGCAGTATATTCATGCAGGTAGTGTTTTGCTAGTCCCTGATCCTAGCACACATTTATATAAGGATGTCTCCATGTCAGCCTTCTGTGTGTCTTGAAACCTGCCTTACATTCTGTAGCATATAAGTCTCTATAGCACATCCTGCATTCCATGTTAAGACTGCAACCTGCAGGCTTCTTCATCATGCCCTGAAATACTCCACCCTTCCTATATCATCCAGGCTGTTAAGATCTCTTGGGAATCCAGAAGCTTGCTCTGTTGGTTTTCAAATTTTCTACAGGGCAACCCAGCTGCTTGACAGTCTTTGTGTCTGGGTGCGTGATATCTCAGAGGGATTGTGTGTTCTTTCTCTGGTATTCTAAAGTGTCATGTATTAGCATGGGAGGCATCTCTACTGCCCATCTTATTTAGCATTTCTCATATCACTGGACAGGCTTTAAAGATTACAAAATGCTTTTAAAAAGCTATTTATTCTGACAAACAACCTTAGCTTGTTATTTAGTTTTGTCTTTGCATATCTTAAAACATCTTCATCATGTTAATTTGCTGTTCAGCCTCTTTCCATTCCAATGTATTTGAAAAAAGTGAAAGCTCATACCTTGAATAAACCTCTGTTGGTCTTAAAGGTGCCACTGGACTCTAAATTTATTCTATACATTTCACTTTGGGCATGCAATCCTTAGAACACTTCTTTGAAACATCAACTTAATTCTAATGGCTTTTACGGGTAAAAACATTTGAACTGCAGTTTACATATTGACTCTAGAACAAAATGAATCATTCTACAATGAAGGTTAAGCAATGATCTATTTGTTTAAAACCAGATATCCCCTTTCTTTATGCATGAAGAGCAGAGTCTTGGAAATATATAAATATTCCTCGCCCCACCCCTGCTATATCATTTGTGTCCAACCCCCCTTTCATGGGTCGCAGTGTGCCAGATGGGATTCCCTGCTTTAAAAAGCTCTGTTTACAAAGGAGAGTGTATTTTCTTGGATGGGTGATCCCTTTAATTCACAGCACCATTATCCATTGAACTCACCACCCCCCAGAAGCCCGAAGCCCCTGCTTCTGGATTGGCTCCACATAGATTGCTAGAGGGAGAGCTCAGGAACAGTTGCAGGTACTCAGGCTTGAATGCGAGCAAGTAGCGAGCACTGGAGTTACCGGACTACGGAGACCGGTTCCCCTGGAGAGACCTGGGTGCATTAAACTTGTCCACTGCTTTGCTGCCCACCGTGTCTCCAACCACTTTTGGAACTCCCCCCCCCCGCAGAAATAAAGCCCCCAAAAGCTCCTACCTCATGTGCTGTCGCTGAGTAGAATTGATGGCTGGCACGAGCTAGAGAGCTAAAGGCACAGAAATGCCAAACGTCATGTGTTTCGGAGCACACAGAAACAACTGCCGCATCCAGGAAGCCAACTGTGAAGGGAAAGCTGTGGGGAGACTCCCTCCTTCATTGACAGAAGTCACAATTGGGAGTGGGCCCACTGACTGCTCTCATTGGCTGGCAAATGACCCACTAAGCCTAGAAAACACAGTATAGAAAGAAAGAGGGTGCATGGCCTGAGAAGCCCAGCCGGCCCTCGCAGAAACCCAAGTCCCCGCCACAAAAAATGGCAGTGCAGCAAGCCATGTTGCTCTTGGAGGCATGCTCGGCTTGGGGGCCGGGGGGGGGGGGGAGTCAACTTGATTGTATTGACTCACTCTGCATAAGCCACCTTGAGTACCAGTGAGAATGATCAACTATAAATAAAGTAAATAAATATTTGTCAACAGTTGTTACAAATGAAATGGCTTCATTTCCTGTGTGAATATAGCTCCTGTATATCAAACGTCATATGGAGCAAGGTATAGTGGTAGTTATAGCATTAACCATCTCATATTCTGCAATTGTATGATCGAGAAGTCCATTTACACTTTGAACAAATATCACTTCAAAAAGCTTATATGCAAGTCAGGTAAAGTGGTAGTAATTTCAGTATTTCAGTGCTGATCAAGATATTAACCTTAGAATATGTATTTTTTGCTTTATACAGATTAATGTAAGAGTTACCACGATGGATGCAGAGTTGGAGTTTGCCATCCAGCCCAATACAACCGGGAAACAGCTTTTTGATCAGGTAACCTTTCTCCAGGTATAAACATCTCATAATACCTTCAGCTGGGACTTGTTTTTCCTGGGGTGCTAAAAAATCAGGCATCTGCCTAGTAGAACTGGGCTTGTAATTGCCACGCAAACTGTGAAAATCATATATTCCTTCGATAGCTTAATGATATTCACGTTTAACCATTGCCTCCTCATTGGAAGTAGGTTAAGTCAAATGGTATCCAAGTAATATTTAAATTGTTCTGTGCTGATAAAAATCCAGCAGCATGGAGCCATCCACAAACAAGCGCACTGGTTTCTGCATATGGGGGGGGGGGAAGTCCTTAGATATGCAGCATTTCCCTCCCCCCCCACTTCCCTAATGGAGGTGAAATCCTCTAAAATGCAAGAAAAGGAAGTCTTTCCAAGTTGCTGTTAGGGTGAAGAAGACCATTTGCCTGCCGCCTGCGAGTGAGGCCGAGGTCCTCCCCTCTCTGAAGCCAGGACAAAAGGGAAGAAACTTATAAATGTAATATGCTGTACATTGGAGAGCAGTATGCTGATTCTGTGCTTTCCAAACTTCAAGACAGACTCTTCTGCTGTTCTCCAGGGTAGAAAGGAAGGGAGAAGTGACGATTGGTCTTAGCTTCTGAGTGTTTTGGAAAACAACGAGGCATCTGATTGCTTTCGGAATACTGCAGAGACTAGGCCCATATCAGAGAGAGTTTCTTCACTTATCATATTTGTGGAGAAAGTTGGTGGAGTCTCTGTCTCCAGTTGAGTCTGAGATGCTCAGTCCAAGTTGGGTGGGGGAGGTTTCATGCTGTGTGCGTCTTTTTTCCTTTTCCCCACTTTTCAAGAAACCTATTCCGGTCTTGGCCATGTAAAGATAAACGATCAGGTCCAGACCTGGCAGTCAATCCCATCCCTCTCTAGAATGTTGTTAGTCGAGAGGCAAGGGGGGAGGGCGGTAACCCATGCAGTTAAAGGGGGACTTGGAGCAGGCAGCCTCCAACCTCAGTGCTTTGTCCTTCCCGGCCTGAAACAAGAGTGTTTGTGTGAGTTCTCCAGTGCTTCTGTTCCAGGTTGCTGTGAGGCCTGAAGAGAAGCACTCCTGTCAGGGCCTGGAGAGTACACATTTTGTTGCAGGTCCCCACTTCAAACTCTGTTCAGGGAATGCTTACTTTATAAATTCGTGTGATAGAGAATAAATCATTAGTCAGCAGTCAGGCTTAAAACACACAGGATGGACCCAGACTAAGTCTTTTCCATCAGTGGAAGGGAACACTCCTGCCTCTTTCCTCTCAGTGCAGTCCACTGATCTCCACGAAATGCTAGTCCTGGGGCAGAGCGGACCCTGAGGAACAGCACTTGGGGGTGGGAGTCTCCGTCAGGGAGGAGGAATGATCAGAAATGGAAATCTTCCTGATTCCCCCATTCTTAGACTAAAAACCCATTTATATTTGTGGCTCTATAAGGTTTGTCTTTGAGAAAATCTTCCAGTGAAATGCTCTTGTGTTTAATTTAAAAACTTGTTGCATAAAGGCAAAGTAGCTAGCATATTCAGGATGTGTTAGAAAACGAGCATTTATATTCCCATCTAATATTCCGACAAACTTGAAAAGTAAGCTGTGCAGAGGAATGTGTGCAGCAGTAGTTATTTTAGAGCTCTGCTATCTTTGCTGCTGAAGTGGTTGAACTTCACACTTGAAATACAACATTTCTTCTGTTTCATTGACCCCAAGCGAATCTTACCTTAGACTTCCTTCCAAAGATTTTTGGCAACTTCAGGCTTGTTCTCTAAATGCTGTACTCCCTGATTCTGAACAGAGACCTTTTAAAAACTAAGTTGCATTTGCATCATTCAGAATCTTCAGCAGCTGAACTCTAGGGGCTGAATCCACTCCATCATGGGCACAGTGCCCGTGCACAGAGGGAGCCTTGTGTTCCTCCTCTGCCCTCCTCCTTCAGCACACACATTCGTTATGCCAGGTCATTTTAGGGAATGGGCGGCCTGTATGTACCTCTGGCATCTCTATCCAACTTCCCCCTCATTTGCCAACGGGGTGGGAGCCTAGGGTGAGAGCATAGGCTTGGTTGGGGGTATTTTGCCCCTTTGCATGTTCCAGGGGAAACCTGCAGTAAACTTTATATCAACTTTCAGCCATCCTTAGTGTCATTTCCACCCCCCTCCCGCACATTTAACCCAGGCTCTCAGAAAAGCACTAATCATGTGGTGCCTTCCTCATCCATCAGCAGACATCTAATGAATTTCGGTTGTCTGTCAGAGTTTTTTGAAAAAGAAAAGATGCTTTCTCACCAGAAACTTTTTTTTCAAAATAAGTGCTAAATGAGTTCTCTGGATTTTTATTATGAAAGAAAAATTAATCAGATGCAAAGGAAGCATTAGATATCATGTTCTACAAATAGAAATAACTAATTCTGTATTAGCCTTCTTGCTCAGCATTAGAAGCTGTAACCTCACAGTAAGAAAAAAGTTAATTTTAATGGCAAAGTCCTGATAGTACTACAGAAATGTCCTTCCTATTACAATCTCTGGACCTTGGGTCCAGTGTAAACATATTGCACATTAAAAAAAAAATCTAGACTCAGCTGTTCCATTTAAATGTCAGTGTCCCATTTTAAACCATTGCACATGTGCAGAATTACACTGAAGTCCTAAACAGAGTTACAGACTTCTAACCCCAGTTACTTTTATGGACTTAAAAGGGTGTAACTCTGTTTAGGACTGTGCTATTAGTATGTCAGTGTTAAGTGTTTTGCCAAAAGACATTGGCAAAACACTTAACACTGTTCATTAGATGTTTCTTCTTGTAGCAGAGTGACTTGGTTCTTAACCTGTAAGTATTATGTTGCTTTGCTGTTGGCCAGCCAGGTGTATGTATCTGTGGTTGCAGGAGCTTTGTGGAGTGTTAGCCATGCAGGTTGGGAGGCTACAATGGGAAGGGGGAAAGGAGTGAAATTGTTCCCTCCTGCCTCTTGCATGCTCCACTGATGGCAGAAAGGAATGATGGTGCTCCCTTTCTTTACTGTAGCCTCCTGATCCACATGTCTGTTATTTCACATTGGTCCTGTGAGTGTGCAAATAAGCTTCTCTGGAGTTGGAAGTGGGAAATGGAGAGCTGAGAAAATGAGATATTCTTATGTGGACCTTGCAAGGTCCTTGTGCTGAATGCAAGCCTATGGCTTGTCACTGTTCGAATGAGCCTGGAAATTTCTCTGTTTATTCTTGTCCTGAACAGACCATAGTGGAATAAATGAAGTAACTATAGTTTCCCACAAAAGCAGTTCAGTTTCTGGAACACAAAGGAATGGAGTACACAAGCCCAAGGATCACTTGGATCATTTCTAATCTGGTTTCAGGCCTGGTTATGGGACTGAAAGAACCTTGGTCTTCCTGGTCCTTTTCAACATCTGCTTGAAACCGCTGTGTGAGGTCATCCAGAGATTTCAGCTGGGTTGTCACCAAAATGCAAATGACACTCAGCTCTGTCTCATATTTCTGGTGGCAGTTTCAGTATGCTTGCAGACTAATAAACTGAAGCTGAATCCAGACAAGACAGAAGTGCTACTGGTGAGCACAATTTAAGGTGTTGCCTGTTTGACATATTTAGTGAAGCCCAACTCATTAAAAAAAATCCCCCAAAGTACAGAAAACATGAAGTCAGATTTACCTGATAGAAATAATAAGCTCTTTAAAATTAGCTATGACCCTTCCTTAGCTGAGTTTTGTTTTCTGTGATTCATTAAGAAACATTTAATCTAGGGTTGCCAGCTGCTTGGACGGGAAAATGTGCTGTCCCTTTAACAGAAGCATTATGGGATGTTATTTATATCTTCAGACACCCATTTTCACACGCTAAGCCTCTGAAAAAGAGTCAGGATATTTTTTCCCTTGAAGCCTGTTAGAACCCTAATGCAGATACCTTTCCAAATTAAGCAAGATAGAAAGCAAGATGGAAAGAAAATTTTCTCACTCTGATCCATGAAGCCACAGTCTCCAAGGAGGAATTCAAGGGGGGCTCGGAGGAGTCAGAGGTCAGAGATAAGCCTTGTCCAAGGGTTAGTCCAGGTCATTTCTGGCTCATGAAGTCTGGGAGAAGGTGTTGCCTATTTTGGATGGGGTTGCACTCCCTTTGAAGGAACCAGTCTATAGTCTGAGTGTGCTTTTTGACCCAGGCATGTTGATGGATAAGCAAGTGGTAGCTGTGGGTAGAGGTATCTTTTACCAGCTTCAAGTGGTGAGCCATGGCCAGAAAACATCTGACTGCTATAGTTCAGGCCTGGTTACATCATGATCAGTTTACTGCAGTGCACTCTTGTGTGGGGCTGTCCTTGAAAAGTGCTCTGAAACTTCAGTTGGTGAAGAGTACTGCAGCCTGGATGTTGGAGTGGGTTGAAGGGGACCATATCACTGTAGTGTTGGCTCCTTTACCCTGATTCCCAATTCAAGGTCCTGGTGTTCAAGGTGCTGGTGTAGACCTATAAAGCAGTATATGTCTTGGGAACAACATACTTGAAGGACGGTGTACTCCCTTATGAACCTATCTGCTTCAGGTACCCTCAACTTCTGAAATTAGGCTGGTGGCAACCCAGGAGAGGCCCTTCTGTGTTGTGGTACCAAAGCTCTGGATCTCTTTCCCAAGAGGACTCACTTGTCCCATTCTGTTGCTGTCTTCTACCAGTGGGTAAAGTCCACCCCGCCCCATTTGGCGCTCCCCCAGATCCCTCCTTCTTGCCCTACATTTTAATTTGTTGGCTTTTGTATATGTATTTTAGCTTGGTTTTAATTGTTTTAATGATGTGTATTTGTTTGGTTTTAATGGTTTTTAAGACATGATTTTATTATGTATGTTTAAATTGTTAGCTGCCTTGGTGGCCCTAATAAGGGTAGAAAGGTGGGGTATGAATTTTGTAAATAAAGTAATACTTAAATAAGGACCCCTCATGCTAGTCTGTGTAACAACAAACTGTGCCTTAATTATGAAGGTTTTATATGATGCTAATAATAAAATTCTTTTTAGGTGGTAAAAACTGTTGGCCTTCGTGAAGTCTGGTTTTTTGGACTGCAGTATGTGGACAGCAAAGGATACTCGACTTGGTTAAAGTTGAATAAAAAGGTAGCATCCTTGCAAAAAAAAAATTCAGCCCAAAATAGTTTATTTAGTTTGTGGGTTTAATGGTACATATGACACGTGATCTATGATTATTACTCTAATTTTTTCCTCACAAATGAAGTGTAGATTGTTGCTTCTACTTTCTGTGGAAGAATATATGCACTTTTGTGTGTTGTTTCTGGGTGCATTAAACTTGTCCATGGCTTTGTCCAATCCTCACTTCAGAATCATTTTTCAAATGCCTTTTTCCTTAGAGCAAAATCTTTTAATGGTAAGGTTGTTAAACTTTCTGAAGGCTAAGTCTAGGATTAATGTATAAGATCAGGTATCGTGTTATTTTTAACTATGAAGAAGCCCCTTTCTGAGTTGTTAAATAAATGCTTAAAATTAATGATCCCATTCCTCATGTTTATGAAAAAGAAATTTAAATTTTGAGCCTTCTGTTTTTGTTTCTTATGAAAACATGCTCCTGGTAAAGTTTTTATTGTATAGTATGTGATATCTCTGTTAGGGATGGACATGAACTGGGAAAATGCAGTTCGGTTCGTGGTTCATGGCATGCCCGGTTTGCAAACCACGAACCGTCTTGAACTTTTAGGAGCTAAATAAACTGGTTCAGTTCATGACATTTGTGATCTGGTAGAACAGCCCCTGGCATGCTAGAGGCACTAAGCTTGCATGGGATCTCTGGCTGACTCTCCTCTACCTGCCCTCCAAGTTTTGTGCAAATTGGATTTACGGGATCTGAGTTATGACCCCTCAAAGAAGGTGCCCCCAGGAAAATGCTTTCTGGGGAAATGATAGGCATTTTGACAGGCACGGTTTCAGGAGTGGATCCTGTGCAAGCTAGAGACATCAAAGTTGCAGGGGACCTCCCCTGGATGCTCCTCTACATGTAGTCCAAGTTCTGTTCCTCCCCCGCCCCCGCCCCCCCCGGTTAGTTTGAAGTTTGGTAAACATTTAGATTGAGCGGAGGCAGTATGTCTGGAAATGTATCTGTTCATGAACGGGCATGAACAGCTTGAAATTTCATGCTGGTTGACCTGCCACAAGTTTCACTTCACAAGCCATGAACTGGCCAAAATTCATCATGAATTTTAGTTTGTGAGCTGGGTTGTGCCCATTCCTAATCTCTTTATGCAGGTTGATGTGATCATTCCGCAGATCTTATCTGTTCTTTTCCTCCTCACCCTACGCCCCACACCAACCCTGGGATTGTCCTTCAGGAAATTCTAGACATTTGATGTATTCCTTCACCAAACTGATTTAATCTTGCAGGGTGATTGGAAGTTCTGTGATCTGACTCTGGAATCATAGAATAAATTTTCTGGTTTGGGTTAGTGAAAAAATCTTTTACTGCAACTGTTACTGTCTTGTATTGTAACAAAACATTTTGATAGTGATTGAGCGTTTATATTTTTATACAATATTTATTTAACATTTATACCCCGCTCCTTCAAAATGGTCTGAAGCAGCTTACCAATATCTTGTCGCTATGTAAATAACTCTCACTTGGCAATTCTCACCTATGCCACAGTCATCAGCTTGTCAATATTTGGAAAACCCATTCAACAATAGCTTTTTTCCCCTGGTGAGATAATTTAATGCTTTAGCTCCCACTCTTGTGTCCCTGTGACTGAAAGTTTGATTTTTTGCTACAGGATTTTGTTGTATATAGAAAGGTTTCAACAATGGAATTTGTATATTGAAAATTGGAGTAACACAAGGAATACAATGAAGTCTTTAAATGGTTTTATGTAGCCTCTGAAAGCTGTCATGTTTTCCTAATTTGCAATCAATTATTTAGAGGTCTGTGTGGAATCACACGTCCTTCAATGTTGTGCTTTGGAGAGTTGAATTACAGTATATAGCAACTAGTGATTAGATTGCTTTCCCTAAAACTGTAATATTCTGTACTCCTCTAAAAACTCCATTTTAGGTAACACAGCAAGATGTAAGGAAAGAAAATCCCCTTCAGTTCAAATTCAGATCAAAGTTTTTTCCTGAGGATGTTTCTGAAGAGTTGATTCAAGAAATAACTCAGAGACTCTTTTTTCTGCAAGTCAAAGAAGCCATCTTAAATGATGAAATCTATTGTCCACCAGAAACTGCAGTTCTGTTAGCTTCTTATGCTGTTCAAGCCAAGTATGGAGACTACAACAAGGAGATACATAAACTAGGATATTTGGCAAACGACAGACTTCTTCCCCAGCGGTAAGAAACGTATGCGCCACATCACAAGCCTGGCAAACTCTGTTAAAGTAAAGTGCACTAATTCAAGAATGCCTAGTATCTTAACCAGTATAAGCCATGCTTGTCAGTCTTGGCGGTTAAGTCATGATAAGGCTGAATCATTAGCTCCTTAGACTTAAAATCAAAATGGTCTGTATATTGAATTTAGTTTGGTAGCCGCCAGACGTGCAGCTGTGGTCGCATGATTTCCAGAGAAATCTTTGAATGTTACAGTTGTCAGAAAGTTATTTGAATAACATAGTCAGATAGGTTACAAGGTAAGACTGACTTCACTTCTGACATTTAACATGTAAAGCAAATTTTTCACCTCAACATCAGCTGCAATAACTCCAAGGTTAAAATCATTTATAGATGAACTCATGTCATAACTAAAAGTACTGGGTGAGCACAGCATATAAGCGCAGTGAACGCATTAATTTAAATGCTTTGGCCATCAGCTATGTGCCAGTTTAAAAACATGCAGATCTTCCTTGCAGCAGAAATAAAGCTTTCATACTGGACTTACATCCTTTTGGATAACCTTTTTTTTTTTTAATGGAGAGGCTGCTTGAAAAAATGCCTCTGGGTATAGACTGGTGCCATATGCGATCCAATATTACTGAGCTAAATATACTCTGGAAAGCTGTTCAGGGTTCTTGTTTGGCATTTTGTTTTTAATCCTAAACCTAAACGGATTGTGCTGTTTTTGCAAGCCCCCCCCCCCCCCAACACTTTAAAGGTGATCCTTTATTTTGACAGTGTTTTGGAACAGCATAAATTAACAAAAGAGCAGTGGGAAGAAAGAATACAGAACTGGCATGAAGAACACAGAGGGATGTTAAGGTAACTTCCCCAGCATAGATACAGTCCTCCTTATTTGAAATTGATTAATGTTTGTCTTTACACAATGCTGCTCCTTCTATCTGTAATTTATTACACCACAGTAAAAGCCCTTTTTGTTCATTCCTGAATATAAGGTTACTTGTAATCAATTTTTTATTGTTTCTATTTTAATTGCTTTGAGGTCTGTGGGTGCCAGGGTCTCCATTTATTTCAGGGGCTAACTTTTGCTGGGTGGGGTTCACTATTTTACCACTTCTGTCTTTATGGTGAAGGTAAAAGGCAAATCAGTGTGGCTTAATTCTTCTCATTGATCAGGGAAGATTCTATGATGGAGTATCTCAAGATTGCTCAAGACTTGGAAATGTATGGCGTCAACTATTTTGAAATAAAGAACAAAAAGGGAACTGAATTATGGCTTGGTGTTGATGCTTTGGGCTTGAATATTTATGAACATGATGACAAGTAAGTATTAAATTGCAGTGCTCTGCTGTTCAGAGATCATGCTTCTTAATAATGAGTGTGTTAATAAGGAGATGTATATCTGAGCTAGAATGTGCTTTGAGACGAACTGAGCTTTATGGGAGAGAGGAGCCTAATGGGTGGAGGGTACTACTTTTTCAAGAGAGGTAAACTAGATGGCCTTCAGTTCCATCTGTCATTGATCCTAGGTTTGTACTTCCTGGGTTATTAAATACAAATGTCTATCCTTTTACTAAGGATTCTTTCTTACTAAAGGTTGACTCCCAAGATCGGCTTTCCCTGGAGTGAAATAAGAAATATTTCATTTAATGACAAAAAGTTTGTGATAAAGCCCATTGACAAAAAGGCCCCTGTAAGTAAACCTTTTAATATTTTTGCTTTTGTGTAAGCATGAACTTGTTATGATTTTCTCTCTGCTTCCTCATACACTGTCAAATTAGTGTTACCTTCACAACTTCAGTCTCCCAGCCACTAGAGGTGAGGTGGCTGGTGAGACCTGCTTTGAAAGGCCCGCCTGGCGCTTAACTTGCTCTTCTGTAGGCACCAGCCCAGAAGTTTACCCTGGCTTTTGACTGGGCTGTGCGTGTGGTAGTTCAGTGTGCAGACTCTAATCTGGAGAATTGGGTTTGATTCCCCACTCCTCCTCCACATGAAGCCAGCTGGGTGACCTTGGGCCAGCCACAGTTCTCAAAGAACTCTCTCAGCTCCACCTCCCTCACAAGTCGCCTGTTGTGGGGAGAGGAAGGGAATGTGATTATAAGCTGCTTTGAGATTCCTTAGGGTAGAGAAAAGCAGGGTATAAAAACTAACTCTCCTCCTCTTCTTCTTTCTGTAATTGTTTTTATGGTCTTCTGTAGCCTGAGGACTTTTCTATGAATGCTTTTGGCTACTAAACATTTTATGGCAGGGCTTTCATGTCAATTTTTATGCTGGTTTTAGATTTTTGGGGGGATATTGCTTTTCTTTGTAAGCCATCTTGAGGAAGTCTCTGGAGTGGGGGCATAGGAATCTTCTGAATACATAATAGTGTGTTTTTCTATTATGGCATTTACAGTGAAATTTTTTATTTATCTTCCCTGCCGCTTTCAGAGTAGGACTGGAAGGGGATTTTAGATACCAGCTAACTTTTTGTTTCCATTTTATACTAATTTTTACTGTTATCTGTTTTACTTTTGAATTAAGCAAACTGACATTAAAACAGTAAATACTCAGTTTACTCCTGGGTTGTGCACATACAAATTGTTGGTGAATTGGATTTAGTCTTGAAATAAGAACATATGTTTTTGCTAACACCAGACCAAGGTCTGCCTGCTCCAGCTTCATTGTTCAGATTTTAAGATGTGTGCATGGCATAGGGTTTGGAGGTATCTTTATTGCTTTCCCCCTTCCCATTGGAACCCCCTGAGCACTTCTTCCAAAAATGTTCTCCTGTAGGTTGGGGGAAGCCTCAGACTGAGATGCACTGCAGTGAGAATGGAAAACTGACCCTCCTTGTTCGAAATCTCCTTTGAGCACGTCTGTGTGCCAGGTGGAATGTTCATCAGTTTCTCTCCCCAACTGCAGCCCTGTGTGCCTCATCCCCTGCCATTCCTGAGGGTGCTCTTTAACTTCAGGAGCAGTTTTGGGAAGTAAAGAGAGGGTGCAAAGATGCCTGAACTCTGCTTGATTCATGCTTCTTGGAGTCTGAGCCTCTGATTCCAGCAGTAGCTAGAAGAATGCCCACAAGCCCTTTAGGTGATGTCCTGTGCTTGCTCCAGATAGCTGGCTGCTGATAGAAATACCGCCTCTGAGAATGGAGAATCCATTTGAGAAAAAGTGTCTTGTGGTGGTAAATTTTGTAAGCTAAATGTGCCTACTGAACTGGCTGCCAGTCTAATTCTCTCTGGATCATTGGATTATAGACAGGGAGAGAAAAAAAGCGACATCTCAGACACCAGCAGTATATGTGAAGTTAGGGGGTCTTTTTGTCTTCGATGTAGTCACTTCCCAGTATCCCTGACACTCACCTGCCATTCCATTGCAATCCACAAAAGATAGGTTTTGGAGCTTGTCCCAGTGTGCTTTGGATTTCATTGTTGAAAATAATTTGGCATCCTCTGCATACTTTTTTTTACTGATCACTCCTACTTCCAAAGATTTCTGAATAAGCTTTTTAAAAAGTTCTTTGTACAACTCTGCTGTTTTCTTTCATTGTGAGAACTGTGCGTTTCTTCCCAGCGTCTGTTCCAATACTAACCTTTTCCAAATGGTATAAATAAGATTTATTCGGGAATCTGTGGTGAGAATCTTTCCCTAAAGCATTATAAATGTTCAAGTATATATTGCTGATTAGATCGCTTTTATTGTTTCTGGAACAGCTAATTCCTTCTCTGAGTAGTCCCAAAGTCCTTTTCATTTGTGGGTAGTTTGTGAAATAAATGAAGACTTGGATTAAGGAAGACTTGCATCTTATTTTGTTTCTAAGTACATGTTTCTAAAGGATAAGGGGGATTTCAAATATTTTAATTTCTCTAGGACTTTGTGTTTTATGCACCACGTCTGAGAATAAATAAGCGGATATTGGCATTGTGTATGGGAAACCATGAGTTATATATGAGAAGGAGAAAGCCAGATACAATCGAAGTTCAGCAAATGAAGGCTCAGGCTAGAGAAGAGAAACACCAAAAACAGTTGGAGAGGTATGACACTGACAATTATTTACGAATTCCCCTTGGCAGTTAGAACTCCCTTCAGTGTGATCTTCAGAAGTAGCTTAGCATTCATACATATGAGGTAGGCTTTCTGAATGTCTCCGTTGGGCTGTGGCCCTCACTGAGGCAATGATTGCCTTGATCAGTTTGATAGCCTTTTACACCCATTATATGTGGGTTCCAGGAATGACAAATAAGAACATAAGAGAAGCCAATGTTGGATCAGGCCAGTAGCCCATCCGGTCCAACACTCTGTCACACAATGGCCAAAAATACCAGGTGCCATCAGGAGGTCCAGCAGTGGGGCCAGGACACTAGAAGCCCTCCCACTGTTGCCCCCCCCCCCAAGCACCAAGAATACAGAGCATCACTTGCCCCAGACTGAGAGTTCCTGTCTATACCTTGTGGCTAATAGCCACTGATGGACCTCTGCTCCATATGTTGATACAATTCCGTCTTGAAGCCGTCCATGCTTGTAGCCGCCGCCACCTCCTGTGGCAGTGAATTCCATGTGTTAATCACTTTTGGGTGAAGAAGTACTTATGGGTACCATAAATTTCATGGAAAGAAGGGAAAAATGCTTGTTAAAATTCTTGGGCCGTGGTAGGGCTATAGCTTTCTATTCCATCTTTTCAGCACAGCTGGATTAATCCTTTAGCAGAATAGAGTTGGCTGGCTGCTCTGATAGAGCCCTGCTGGAATCCTGATGCTTTGGTGCCAGTTTGGTGTAGTGGTTAAGTGCGTGGACTTTAATCTGGGAGAACCGGGTTTGATTCCTCACTCCTCCACTTGCACCTGCTGGATGTCTTTGGGCAAGCCATAGTTCTGATGAGAGCTATCCTTGAAAAAGAGCAGTTTCTGTCAGAGCTCTCTCAGCCCCACCTACCTCACAGGGTGTTTGTTGTGTGGAGGGGAAGGGAAAGGAGTTTGCAAGCCACTCTGAGACTCCTTTGGGTAGTGAAGGGCGGGGGTATAAATCCAATCTCTTCTTCTTTATGGATGAACAGAACTGTTTGCTCTGACATACTCACTGCTACTCTAGATGATCCTGTAATAATATATGCTAAATATTACCATGGTGGGGGAAGGCATTATTGACTTTTGCCAGTTTCCCACATGACGATACAGTCTCCTGCTCTGTATCCAACACTGTCCTCTGACCATGAGTAGGCAGCTTCTCAGACGGTGCAAGATACTGTAGGAATGCAAAGGTGGAAAGATCCATTCTGCATGTGGAATTCCCACTTGAGGGTCTCTTGGCATCCAGCTTACTAGATTTACAGTCAGTGAATACTGATCAGTCACCACTTGGGTATTTAGTGCTAGACATCATTAACTGCCTGTCGGTGGTTGTGCAGACACTACCTACGTGAAGGTGAGAAGCAGAGAGAAGAATCAGAATACAGCAACTCCAGTGCCGGAGGTACTGTGTTCTTTATGAAGAATCTGTTGTGCCAGCCCCTATCTAGCTGTGCTAGTGCACAGTGACTGTATTAAATTGTTTGGATTGCTTCACTGTCCAGACATGTTTGCTGTATGACAAGATTGGAGTTTTGAAGATACTTTACTGTTCTGAGGACCAAGCAAGAAGCATTATTCCTCATAGTCTTTCCCGGGATTCCAAGGAGTTGTTGGGGGCAGGGAGGTGCAAGAAATATCTGTACGTTGTCTGTTGGCACTTTGTAGGATTGATGCTAGGTGATAATCATGTGGGAGGCAGTTAGTGTTGAAAGTTGCTTACGGGCAGAAGGAGCAGTGTGTGTGTGTGTGGGGACTAGCTGGCTGAGGCCCCTGAGAGATATAATAATCTGGGGGGGGGGGGCAGAATTTTAGGGTGGGTGTGGTTTCACTATTTTGCTCCTCCAGGGATTCCTTGCAGACCCCCACCTTTTATTGTTCAACTTCTGTTTCCGACTTGAATCATTCTATCAGTTGAACCTTAAAGACCTAGGGTGTAACTTTAATGTTACCTCCGAGAATAAACCTGGTTGCAGTGGACATTAAATCGAATGGACGTTGCAGTGAACATTGCAGTGGACATTAAATCCTTTTGTTCTCCTGCTGTATATTCTGTATTTCTTTAATTTAGAGCTCAGTTGGAGAATGAGAAAAAGAAAAGGGAAATAGCAGAAAAAGAGAAGGAAAGAATAGAACGTGAAAAGGATGAACTGATTGAGCGGCTAAGACAGATTGAAGAACAGACAATGAAGGCCCAAAAAGGTGAGCTCTTGCATTTAACTTTGTTTTTTTAATTGCATTTCTTTTAGAAGACGATATACATTTGCATAAGATACAAGAGATTTATGGACAGTTGATACGGTACCTCATCCTGATTCTGGGAGCTGATTTTGAATACTCACATTTTTTATAGATTCCGTACTCTGCCTTGAGTCTCTGAGAGAAAGAGGGGCTATAACCTAAATAAATAAGCAGTTTTGCTCAAAATTGAATTCAGTCATGAGTAAAGCAGTGGCAGTGAATACTTCACTGGAGGCCTTATAGGAGACCCTTAATCAGAAGTCCCTTTTTTGTTTTTCAGTAAGATAGTGATTAGTGTCTTATTTATTACTGAGAGTCTTTAATCTTGTTTGTGTAGGTCAAATAATTCAAATAATAGAGATTGTACGAAGAGGTCACCCCCCAAGAAAGGGGAGGGGAAAGCAACATGAAGAAAGTGTACCAGAAAAGAATTTTAAAATGTAACGACTATTGAATCCCTGTCCATAGCAAGTTACCCTCCGTTCTCACAGTCAGGAAGAGTACAGTCAAAACTGGATTTGCTTCAGGAAATCTTTTAAATTTAGAAATAAAAATCTTCATACTCTTAAACTCTGTTGCTTCTGGTTTATTGACAAGATTAAAATGCACCATTATTTTTTTTTTTGCTGCAACCAAATAACAGTTTTGGTACTTTCTGAATCCCTACACAACTTATCCTATTACGTGACTCGCAAAAGTATAACCACATACCCATTGCCAAAAGTCGTCTTCCTTCTTGCAAAGGTTCCTTGCAGCCAACCTGTTCTTTGAAAACTCTGCTCTTTCACAGGTTGCATTTTAATGGCTTTCATTAGTCAAGGAAGCAGTTGCCAAACTGTGGGTCACGTGGCCACTCCTTTGAGAAGTAAACAAAATGGCCTCCCCTGGCTGCAGAAGAAGGGGCTTGCTCTGCCTGCTTGATTTGCTTGTGCTAGCCACACCTCCCTTCAGCCAGCCTCTCCTGATTTAATTCTGTTGTGTGTCAGCATTGGGTGTGGTTTGATCAGACATGCAGTTCAGTGACCTGCCCTCTTCTGCCCGCAAGAGGGCTTCTTGTACCACAGGAACACGCAGCTATTAATAGAATGGAAATGTGGGTTGGATCCAGCCTCTGTGTACTACTCTTAGCCTAAAAGGTAGACCTTTGTTGATGCACGAGTCATGCTGACTCCGAGTTTCACTTAGAAATTGTTACTCAGCAAAAGAACTTGTCCACTGTTGAGCTGAACTTGATCTAACTGAGAGCTCGTATGGTATAGTGGTTAGAGTATCAGGCTAGGATTTGAGAGACCCGGGTCTGAATCTCCCGTCTGTCATAGAAACCCACAAGGCAACTTTGGGCTAGTTCTCCTCTCTCTCTGCTTTAACGTAACTCACCAGGTGGTGGTCATGAGAATGAAATGGAAGGGGGGAGAATGATGTAAGGAACGTTGGGTCCCCTTTGGGGAGAACAGTACTGTTTAAATGCTTAAATGAAGACGATGGCGTGCAGAATCGACATTAGAATTTCTTTGGCAACAGCTTCAGGGTTGGATCCAGGAAACTGACAGAAAGAAAATGTATGCAAGCACTCTTATAGAATCATAGAATCAATGAGTTGGAAGGGGCCCTACAGGCTCTCTAGTTCAACCCCCTGCCGAATGCAGGATCTGCCTAGAGCGTCCCTGACAAGTGTTTGTCCAGCCGCTGCTTAAAGACTGCCAGTGAGGGGGAGCTCACCACCTTCCTAGGTAGCTGATTCCACTGCTGCACATCTCTGACTGTAAAAAAGTTAATACTTTAGGAGAGCAATCATGTCCCCCCTCAACCTCCTCTTCTCCAGACTGAACATTCCCAAGTCCCTCAGCCTTTCCTCATAGGGCTTGGTCTCCTATGGGCCCCTGATCATCCTCGTTGCTCTCCTCTGCACCTGCTCCATTCTGTCCACATCCTTTTTGAAGTGAGGCCTCCAGAGCTGCATGCAGTACTCCTGGGGTGGCCTGACCAATGCAGTGGAGCGGCCGCAGTTGAAGTCTTCGCACCAATACTTCTGCAAGCATTGCAGGACTCTTAATAGGCAGGCTCCATAAATATTCTCAGGCTACTGCAAAAGGAGGTGCAAGCAGGAGAATGTCTTTGAGTTTAGTTTTACTGTTTTCATGCTGTGTCCTTGTATGAGGTATCGAAGAGCTCTTTCATGAGCAGAAAATGCTCTCTGCATGCAGAATGGTACTGTAGACACAGTCCAGTGTTTGGGCAGTTCAGGATGAGGGGTACAGATCACAGCTGGATTTAAAACCACTGTAAATGGAAGAAGTAGAAAAACCCCAAGTTCCTAAACGTTTGCTGACAACCTTTGAAAGATTTTTTCCAGCAGTGTGTGTAATTGGTGGGAAGTGCCCAAGAGTTGGAAAGAAGGACGATGTCTGTGTTTTTTTCTGCTCAGCTGCACTCAGCTGCGATTTGGGCTTTCTTTTTGCTTCTTTACCTGTTGCCTTGTCTGCTTTTTCTGATTCATGTGATGGTTGGTGGCTTTGCACAAGTGTGAATTCCTTTTGAGAGCTGAGCACTGAGGCACTGAAGAGTTCTTAAAGATGTGGGGAAACACCTGTGGCGATCACCTGTGCAAACAAAGCGATTGGAGAAACTGCTGTGCTCACTCAGTGCTGTGTGTAAACTTGGTGTTTAATTGTAATTTGACAGAGGTTTGAGCTGCAGCACACACAGAATTAGCTGAAAGTTATTAAACCTACAACAGTTCCTCCAGTTTGGTGTAGTGGTTAAGAGCGGCGGACTCTATTCTGGAGAACTGGGTTTGATTTCCCATGCCTTCACATGCAGCTGCTGGGTGACCTTGGGTCAGTCAAAGTTCTCTTGAGAGCTGCTCTCTCAAGAGCAGTTTTCAAAGAGCCCACTCAGCCCCACCTACCTCACAGGGTGACTGTTGTGGGGAGAGGATGGGAAGGAGATTATAAGCCACTCTGAGTGAAGGCTGGGGTATGAATCCAGTCTCCTCCTCCTCCTCCTCCTGAAGTGATGTAGGACTCTGCCATCCTGGAAGGCTTCAGGTGGCTTTCCCATTCAGGGATTAAACCTGGCCTTGCATGTGAAGCATCTGATCCTCTTATCAACCTTTGCACAGAATTGGAAGAACAGACGAGGAGAGCTCTGGAGCTGGATCAGGAGCGCAAGAAAGCGAAAGAGGAAGCAGAGCGCCTGGAAAAGGAACGCAGAGCAGCGGAAGAGGCTAAATCCACTCTCGCAAAACAGGCTGCTGACCAGATGAAGAACCAGGAGCAGCTGGTAAGAAGCGAACGATCAACTGACTCGTGTAGGAATCCATTTCCTAGGGGTCTTTGCGCAAACCCTGGCATAGCTGAGAGGAAGCAAGGTACCATTCTGCATTATTTACTAATTAAAATAGTTGCATCCCGCCGTTCCTTGTGGTTCAAGGTGGCTTACAATAGTTTTAAACCCAAAAATAAAAGAACAAACCACAACTCTCCCCCGCCCCCCCTTACAAGAGGCCTGCTGATTCAACCCCCCCCCCAAAAAAAGAGCCCTGGCAAACAGGCAGGCCTTGCAGCACCTCTGGAAGATCTCCAGGGAGGGCCTCCCCTCCCCTCCCCTCCTCAGGGGGCCCATCCCCCAGTGCCGGCGTCACAATGGGAAAGGCCTGGACTCTAGTCAGTGCCAGATGGGCTACTCTTAGTGGTGGAATAGCCAACAGGTGGCTGCCTGATGACCATAGTTAGTGCCCAGGGACATATAGAAGGAGCTGGTCCTTCAAAAATGTGGGTCCCAGGTCATGAAGGGCTTTAAAGTTCGTAACCAGCACCTTGAGTTGAACTCGGTAACAGACTGGCAGCCACCATAGCTGTTTCAAAGTGGGCAACCTCTGTTCCCAGTAGCTGGCCTCTGCCACATTCTGGACCAGTTGTAGTTTCTGGGTTGTCTTTGAGGACAGCCCCATGTAGAGTGTTTTGCAGTGATCCAACTGTGTGGTGACAGAAGCATGGATCACCGTGGCCAGATTGGCTGAGCCTAGATAATGACAGAGTTGGCAAATCAGATGCAGCTGATAGAAGGTGTTGCTGGACACCACACCAGCCTGCTTCTCAGGCAGCAAGGCAGGGTCCATGAGCACCCCTAAGCTCTTAACTTGCTCTGAACAAGCCAGCATCACTCCATCTAGGACAAGAGGATTCAGTTCCTCTAGAATTTCAGCCTTCCCGGCCGGCATTACCTCTGTCCTGTCCGGATTCAGCTTCCGCTTGTTCCGTCTTAGCCACTTGACCCCACAGCCTTACTTACCTTTTAAGTAAACCAGTGCAGGTTCATAAGTCTCTAATCACAGAGGCAGGAGGCAAACATCAGTGGAAGGTCTCAGTCTCTATGCCCTGTTGTTGGCCGTCCAGAGGAACTAGCTGGCCACTGTGTGAGACAGGATGCTGGACTAGATGGACCACTGGTCTGAACCAGCAGGGCTCTTCTTATGTTCTTAATGTCCAAGGACAAAAAGTTCTTAAGGTCTGTCATGATCTGGCCTGTGCCAGTACGGCCTAGCCAGCCTAAGAGGCCTGGGTGGCAGTAGGAGGCAGCTAGGCCTACAACTCCCAGAAGGCATTGGGAGAGTCAGAGAGGATTCTAAAGAGACCGTTGGAGTCGGTTGGGAAGACAGTTTGGGAGGAGACTGTGATAGTCTGGTGAGAGAAGGAATCTGAGCTGTTCGCTGAGGGAAAAGGGTGTATTTCGTCTCTCTCTGCGGCCTGATCTTAGTGAGAAGATAGGCTGGGCTGGGAAGAGGAAGATCCCTCCGACCTTCGTCTCTCTGCAACCTGATCTTAGTGAGAAGACAGGTTGGTCTGCGAGGAAAGGATCCCTCAGTGTGAGTGTTAGGCAGGCTGGGGGCCTGGAAGTAAAACAGGAGTAACAGGTAGCTGCGTTAGTTTATGTTTATTTTTCCTTTCACACTGTTATCCCCTTTTTAAGCACCTTGCCGTGTCTTGTTTTTCCCTGCCCCACTGTTGTTTTAATAAACCCTTTTTGTGTAATTATTTTCTCTGCCTGGGTCAATCACGCCTGTATTGCTCGGCTGAAAAGGGGCTTGGGAAAGGTACCCTGGGCCTCCCAAGGGACCATAAATCCAGGGTGGTGGCGGCGGAACCCAAAGACCCCTCTGGGGTCATGACAAGGTCCAAGCACAAAAAATCATGATGTGTAAACATAAGGGGCAACAGACTACCAGTGTACTGTTTGTGGCTGCATTCAGTCGCCCCACCAACTTGTCATGCTGTCTGCAGTGGAGAACTGGAGTTGGAGTCAAAGCTCTGAAGCCTCTGCTGTGCTTTGTCCTTTTCTCTGGAAAGGAGGTGGAGTAAGGGAAGCACTCTAGCATCATGCCCATCTGTGTCTGATGTCAGCCCATGAGCTGCATGACACTGCCTGCCAACTGATCATGGTCACACTTACAGGAACTCTCTTGGCAAAGAAGGCATGAATAGCTCGTTCTGCGTTTTCAGCGTCTCAGGGGGAAAGTTTTTATTTTGCCAGGCTCCCGAATTCCTGGTTTTCGTGTATTACTTTTGGTAATTCAACTGATTGCTGTTAACAGCATAGTATTAAGAAGTCTCATTTTCTGGTTGTGTGCTTCATAGTCTAGCAGGTTTTTATGGCTGGGTGTTGATTATTTTATGTTTACATTTATTAGTCTCCTGGTTACATAAGATATGGGTAATGAGCTTTCTGGAGAAATGCTTCCAAACTTGCTGAGTGCTGGTACAATTCTGGTTTTAGATAAAATCATTTATAGTGACGGTGTCTTTATAGAGCAGGTCCAAGGAGCTCTGAATGTAATGGAGTCAAGGGGCAGATCTCGCCCTTCTTTCTTCCCTGCACCCTCTAAGAGCTTCAGGCAGAGGCCTTAGTTGGAAGGGACAGCAAAGTCAGGCACAAAAGCCTGTCTACACACTGGGCAAGAACTCGAGTGAGAACTGCACTGATTCTTCTTTCTCGCAGCCGGCCAGAGTATCACATACCACTCTGTTCCCTAGAGCCTTCTCGACCTTAGGAGCAGCAAGGGGGAGAGAGATCCATTCTGTGAACTTACACCGTTTATGTTTCCTTGAACGAATTCAGTGAAATTAGCAGAGAAAACAATACCGAGCTGTCAATGCTTCTGTGGTGCCCTAAAGTGGATCACTTTTATTTTTTTTCCCCTTTAGGCAGCAGAACTCGCTGAATTCACTGCAAAGATTGCACTTTTGGAAGAGGCCAAGAAGAAGAAGGAAGAAGAAGCTTCAGAATGGCAGCACAAAGTAATTCTTCTGCACCAAAGAGCTGGGGTTTGTGAATGGGAAGCCATGCCAAAGTGTAGGCCCAGGGGTGCCAGCCAACAAAAGCAGAGTTGTCACATTTTGGTTTTGGTGGCTGAAAATACATCCCCCCACCCCCGGAATCCGGTCTGTGTTACTTGTGATGAAAAGGGAGCCAGACTGGCAGCGCACTCCTAAGCAGAGTCATTGGAGACTTAGAAGGGTGTAACTCTGCTTAGGGATTGGGCTGTTGACTTGCGCGTTGCCTGGCCCCTGCTGAATCAGGCCCCCCCCCCGGGCCCCCCCCCCCCCCCGAGTCCACTGTGTGTGCTTTCCTTTCAGTTAGGAGATGCCAGGAGTAGGCGAACCTGGTTTTCCAGCTGGTCATGCCATTTCTTTGTTGGCAGTATTAGGGTGGGGAGCATGTGTTAGCCAGCGGTTCACTTCCCCTCTCATACCAGGTATAAAATGTTACTGCATCCTGGGCCTGAGCGTGTCGCTAAATTGATTTCTGATAGCTTGTGGAGGGGGTTAGGAGTGTCTTCATAAATGTATCTGTGCCCAAGGAATTATTTAATGCCTCTCCCTAAATTTTAGCATAAACCTGGGCCTTGTTCCTTGGTTAGAGACAGCAAAAGCGGCTGACTCTTTTAAAAGCATCGGCTTATCGCTGTCCCTTTGCGCTATACTTTCATTTGCTGACTACAACCGAACAGATATTTAGAAAGCAAAATAGGCTTGTGTACAGGGATACGTCAGTGGGCTTAGAGGCTTCAAGGAACTTCACTTGCAAATCATGGGTTGTCGGTTTTGTGCCACAACCCCATGGCTGACTGGGGGACCTGGTATCCTCTAGTTTGGCCATGACTCCAACACATTCAGGTGTCATTAAAACCCATTAAATCAAAAGAGTTTTCAGCTAAACATTAGGAAGAACTTCTTGACAGAGCAGTTCCTCAAGTGAAACAGGCTTCCTCAGGAGGTAGTGGGCTCCTTTGGAGGTTTTCAAGCAGAGACTAGATGGCCATCCGACAGCAATGGTTGATTCTGTGAACTTAGACAGATCATGAGAGGGAGGGCAGGAAGGGTTGCCTCAGTGGTTAGTTCTTGTGGCCCTTTCTTACACGCCCAGGGAAATGCTGAGTGCCACTTTGGGAGTCAGGAAGCAATTTTTCTCCAGGTTCTGCCTGTTGGTTTGGGCGCGGATCCTGGGGGGTTTTTTTTTTTTTTTTTGCCATCTTCTGGGCATGGAACGGGTCACTGTGGGGGGGGGGAGGTAGTTGTGAATTTCCTGCACTGTGCAAGAGGTTGAACTAGATGACCCTGGAGGTCCCTTCCAACTCGATGATTCCAAGTATGGCAGCAGTGGGTAATTTGTGGTCTTTTAAGTAACCTTTATCACTCTTTTTAGGCTTTTGCAGCCCAAGAAGATTTGGAAAAGACCAAAGAAGAACTGAAGACGGTGATGTCTGCTCCGCCCCCTCCCCCACCCGTGGTTCCTCCCACAGAGAACGAACACGATGAACAGGATGAGAATAATGCCGAAGCGAGTGCAGAACTGGCTTCTGAAGGGGTCGCAAATCACAGGAGTGAGGAAGAGCGAGTAACAGAGACACAGAAGAACGAACGCGTTAAGAAGCAGCTCCAGGTAACAAAGGGCTGTGGCAGAGGCCCAGGTCAGAGAGAGCCCTGTTACGCACCCCGTCAGGCTTGGGAACGCTCACAACAGTCCTTTCCTTTCCTTGGGACTGTAGTTGCCTCCCTCCTGTATCGCAAACTACTCTTGGAACCTAAAAACCTGCTTGTATATTTGGAACACCCCGTTGAAAGCTTGTTGAGGTGGTTTGCATAGTTTTAAAAGTAAAAACGATCCAGCTGGAAAGGAAACAACTAAAACTTCAACAGGGTAAACTTACAGCAGAAAGCCATAGCCCAACAACTTTTATGGTCCCCGAGTGGTGGTGGATGTTCTGGCTGGACTCTCAGGGTTAATCATGCAGTTCACTGGCTTGTGGCCATAACATATGCTGCTTTGCAGAAATGTATAGTCCATACTTTTCACACATATAAACAGCCCCGTAAGTAGCTTTGTGTTTCAGGAAGCATGTGGATAAATCAAGTGGTAATGGGGGTATCATTTTAATTTGTTTTCTAACCTGTGCAGTTCCCAAGCTATTTCATTTAATAAAATTGCCTGAGTGGTAACTGGTAAGGAAAAAAAATATGCACCCAGAGTACAGTAAAGTCCCTTGAAATAGTGTGGCATTAACGCTTGTACATCAGGCAAAGTGCAGGTAATGTGGAGGACAGTCACTTAAACGTTTCTTTTAAATTCTAGAAGAACTTGTGACAGTGGGGGAAGGGACCGTGGATCTGTGACAGAGCACAGACGTTTGCATGCTGAACATCTCTGGCTCAGTCATTGGCATCTCCAGGGCCACAGCCAAGTCTGAGTAAGCAGTGCTGAGCTTGCTAGACCACTGGTCTGCCTGGCATAAAGCAGGGAGGGCGAGGTATTCAAACCTGGCCTTTGTTCTGCTTGACTGTTCAGCATCAAACTGTTTAACCAAGGCCAAAACGAAATTTACGTTTTAATCCAAGTGCTTGGAGTGGACTGTTCTGTTAAGTTCTCTTTCTGTACAGTCTTTGATCTCTTTAATAATGCATAGGATGGTGCCATTTGCTTTGGAAGGACGTCAAAACCAATATACAAGCTTCCTGGCGATCTCATTTTACGATTAAGCGTTATTTTCTGATGCACAAACCTGTGATAAGTTGAGGGAATGTGAAAGGGTCCTTCAGTTAGGTGAATTTATTTTAAAACAGCCCTAACAGATTTAACTACATCCCTGCCCTGCCCCCCCATGTTCCTGTTCCACAGAATGGCTTTGATGGATGTATCCCGCAAGCTGCTGTCTTGCCACTTGTGTTGTCCTTATTCCAAGCCCCTGCTTCTGTAATTGTTCCCAAGGATATTGCAAGCCTCAGGTGATCCTTTGAAAACTACTCTCTGAAAGAATGCTGGGTTGAATCCAAGCTCTCCTGAGTGG